AGCACATGTGCTCTCATCCATCCAGCGCCATGCTGTTTCTTCTTTTGTCATGGCAGGCCCCACGCTACTTTGTAGACCTTCGGTCAGACATGATGAACCAAAGCCTCTGGCCAGAACACAAGAGACATCGGAGAGAGAGAGGCCCCTGCAGTATAAGCAACCCAATAATGGAAGACAAGGCTGGATGGACCACAGAACAGTCCGCCAAGCCCACTCTTGTTGTGGGAGAGTAGAGTTGAGCCACACCGAGGCCCTGAGAACAACGAGCAGCTTCCCCAGAAGCCGGGGTGGCTGCAGCTGAAGCTGAGAGGAGAGGCCAGGAGCCCGCGTGGTTACTAAGTGCGCTGTAATTAAGCTCATCCATAATTTGATAAGTGGGAGCAGACTAACATTTTATAGAGTAATTAAGTCTGAGAGAGCAGGACAGGGCGTTTCTGGGCCCCAGCATCCCCTGAGGTGGGTCCCCATTTGAGTTCTCTCTCCTCCAACACACGTCCGTCCGTCGGTGGTGAGGCACAATGGTGCTCACCCGGCCCTGGGAATGCTCCCTGGCCCTGCTGTCTCCACCCCTCAGTCCCTCCACCAGGGCCCAGGCCACTGGCAGGTCCCACAGAAAAACGGCCACAGCTCCAGTGAGACCCAGGGCCCAGGCTCCCTTCCACACTGCTCTCTGCAAAACTGTGGGCTAGGAGAAATTGAGTTCAGTGCTCCCCTCATCCCTCCTTCACAGGCTACCTGGCCAGCCTCTGACTGAGTAGGGTCAAGGGTCCTGATGGGGAGACTGAGGCAGCCTAGGAGTTAAGGAAGGGGCCCCAAGGATGGAAGCCAGGCTCTCCCACTTCCTGGCCCTGTGATCTCAGGTGAATCACTTCACCTCCCCAAGACTCAGTTTCTTTGTAAAATGGCAGTGGTGGTCCAACCTAACTCATAAGCTATTTGTGAGGAACAGATGTAAGAGGAGTCATGAGTGTACTTAGTAGCGAGGGGGCCCACGTGTAAGATGTTGTCAGCATCTCTCACCAAAGGTGTTAAAACCTGTGTCCAAGTCCCTGTCACTGGAAGGGACCCAGGTGGTCATTCAGCCTGGTGTGTATCCTCAAGAACAAGAGATGGGATAACCACAGCCGAGACCTCCTGCTCAGACAGCGAGGAGTATGGAAACCTTGTCAAGTGAGGGACCTGGGCTCTTGCACCTGACCTGGCCATTTCCAAACACCCGATGTTCTGTGCAGTTCTGGGTCATGGCCAAGTGCCAGAGGACTTATGTTCAAGGTGGCTGATTTCAGCTCAGTCTTTGGAGCTGTTCTCCTCCACCTCCCCCCAAGGACATGCTGTCTCAGGAGGTAATGAGCTCCTTGTTCCTTGCCAGAGGACTTATGTTTGAGGTGGTAGATTTCCTCCCAGTCTTTGGATCAGTTCTCCCCAACCTCTCCCCAAGGACATGCTGTCTCAGGAAGTAATGAGCTCCTTGCCCCAGGAGGGCTTCAAGGCTTGGCCAGCTCCCTGGGGGCTGAGAGTCAGGCTTGGTGGTGGTTGAATCCCCTTTCCCTCTCTGAGGTTCTGGGGATCCTAGCAGCCCCTCCCAGCCCTAGTCCAAGCCCTGGTCCCTGGTCCATAGCCCAGCAAGGGCTCACCCAGTCCATCAGAAGCTGCCACTCACAGACCAGCTTCCTTAGGGTGCACACACACCAGGAGGGCCTTGGGATGCTCTGGGCTTGCCTGTGTGGTCTCCAGCAGAGCACCAGGCCCCACAGCTCTCCTTGTTCCACAGCTTTATCTGAGGACCCTCCAGCCCCAGGCTCCTAGAGCCCTCAAGCACTCTGCAAGCACCTGCAGACTCTGTCTCTGCCCAAGGTTGGGTCTTGGTGTTCCTAGAGCATGCCCTCAGAAAGGTCCCTTACAGGAGGGCAGCGTTGGCCCCATCCAGGCACATTTCCTCCTGGAGGGATGCAGACGGGCTCCCCCAGCACCGCCTCTCCCACAGGGGGCCGGGAGGGAGGTGCTGGCTCATGTGGCAGGACTCTGTGCTTGTTACTGTGTATATGCTTACAGACTTTTCTCACTGTTACATAATTGAGGTATTTTTTCCCCTCCTTATTTTAGATCCTGGTGCCATCTGCCCTGCTTTTCATGCATCGCTAGCTCTGGGCTGGAGGTTAGATCTGGCTCGGCCACCCAGTTCTAGCCCTCCCTTGGCAAGAGACTCTGGGTCATCGGTTTCCTTCTGTGTACTGTGAGATAGTAACCCCACGCTGCCTCCCTCGGAGGGCCGCTGCGGGACACAGGGGAGAAGCCGCGAACTGGCTGGGTAAGGCAGCCAGCCCCGCACAGATGTGCCTGTTGTCATCTGGCAGCCTGAGACTGGTGTCACCCAAGTGAGGGAGCCTCTGCCGGCTCCTGTCTGCACCTGCCCCAGCCGAGCTCCACCGAGCACCACATAGCTCCGCAGGGCTCCGCAGAGCCAGGCCCTGTTTGAGACGCGGGAAGTGCATGAGCCACACAAGTGGGGAGTCTGGTGGACCCCCTGTCAGAGGCAGCAGAGACAGGCCCCGGGCCTGCAGGGTCAGGCTACCCTCAAGCCTGCTCACAAGCCTCTTGGCCCCACGTGGCATGGTAAGCGCCCCCTGTCAGAAGCAACCTACAGGGAGCTCTCAGCCAGCCTCCAGCCATCAATGAAGGCACCCTAGAGATCATGCTCCTCCCTGAGGCAGCCCGCATGGACGCCATCTGTACCCCGCAGAACGGGAGCCCCCTCTCTCCCCTCAATATCCCACCCACCAATCTCCACCCCAAGAAGGGGCAGCTCTCTGCTGACAGACAAGCAGGGAGGGTCTGGGTGCCAGGTTAGTTCCCAGGACTGTTGGGGTGAGGTGATGGTGAAGAGCACCGCTCAGGAGACTTTTGTCACAGATCCACTGTGACACGGGGTGAGTCACTTTCCCTCTTTGGGTCTGAGTTATGTCATCTGTAAAATGGGAACAGCCATCTCTGTTCTGCCTATCTCTGCATCTCTTGCGGGGATCAGAACTAGACCTGTTCCCAGGGAGGCTCTAGGCCACCAGAGTGAATTTGGTCACTGTGAGCTTTTAATTATCAGTGAGATCTGGAAAGAAGGTGCTCTGGGCTTTTCAATCATTGGGGTAAAAAAAAAATCTCAGGGCAGCCTCCCAGACAGCCTAACTGTCTTTACTCCCAGAGACCCCCGCAGAGGAAGACATAGCTTGTCCAGTGCTCAGGAGCCTGCTTCCCCCTCCCTCTAATTCCCGGGTATCCACGCACACGTGTAACTCCAAGCGTTGCATCCACCCAGCTCTCATAAAATCGAGCATGATAACAAAATCTCCCGAGCTGCAGAAATGCAACTCTGAAAGGTCAGTTCTGGGATTCAAAAGGATGTGGCCGTAATGTGAACACGATGGCCATGGGTCGTCCAACTCCGGACGGCGTCAGCCCTCACCACCCACCCTGTCATCCCCACCTGCCCTCCTGGCCTCACTTTGCAGACAGGTGTCTGGGCAGGGCATCCCTGATTGAAGACAGAGGCGACCGAAGCCCAAAAGGCAGGCTGAATTTCCTCCTTGTGAGACACCCTGTTCCTTGGCACTGCCTGACCCCGGAGGCCACGCCTGGCTGCCCAGCTGTTTTTCTGCCTTCTGGCACCAGGTTCCACGTTTATTACAAGCAGCTACTTGCAGAGCAGGAACGCTGTTTCTAAAGGGGTCTTGCTCTTTGTGGCCGGACCGGAAGGTGGATCGGGAACACTCTGAGACCTCAGGTTTGGACGGAAGCAACCAACTTGGGAGCAGAGGCCGCCCGGGCAGCGGAAGAAGCAGAGCGCCCTCTAGCGGCAGGCCTGGCCCTTCCAGGGAGAAGGCGGAAGTGCTAGTTTGGTTCACGGGTCTGCCTGCAGCCACCTGCAGCCGCCTGGGAGAGAGCGTGGTGCCTGGTTTGGGTCCAAACATCCAGGCTCTGGGCAATTGCAGGTATAGCAGCATTCAAACCCCAACCCAAGAAGTGATAACACAGACTCTATCTATCAGTAACCTGGCTTAATTAAAAATAAGGCCACAGCAGGAAGGCAAGCATATGGCGAAGGCCCCCTGAGTGTGTGTGTGTGTGTGTGTGTACCACATGGGACAGGCCGGGAACCTACACCTACCCCAGGCGCAGGCCTGTGTACCATGGTTTCTGCCAAGGGTGTCCCATCAACACGGTCCTACCCCAGGCAAAACTACACAGACTCAAACCAGAAACAAGCCAACCTCTCAGCCAACAAGCCCCTCCACACAAGTCCTGAGAGGTTGCAGAAATCCCAAATGGAAATTTACAGAATGTCCTCACCCCTTGGAATTGCTGGCTCTGGGCCACACACACATAGGCACCATGGACATGTACAGGGGTGCACAGTGGATGTGCAGGGAGTCTGGCTCAGGCAAGGTTACAGAGCCCATCACAGGATCCTCAGATAACTGGATCCAGAGCAGGCAGGAACACAAAATGTGAAGCATTTCTACTGCGGTGGCAGAATCACACAGCCTGGACCATGTATAAACCACATACGGTTACTCACCTATCCTCTCTCGGCCACAGATTCTTCGTGCACAAAAGAAAAAAATATCTGTCCTTTTTATCTTAAACCATGAGGCTGGTTTCAGGATCAAATGAGAGAAATTTCTGAACTGCCATTCGGCTTTAAAATGTAAAGGATCTGTATTGTATTTTATAATAAATCCGTGTTGAATATAAACGTGTCTTCCCAAAGTCTTTGTATGAAATCAGCTTCAGAAAGATGGACGTACCATGTTTCAAGGTGCAAGGACCCCACCCGCCACTCCACATCCCCACTGAGAAGCCCACACCACTCACGGTGCCCCCCGGTAGGGCTGAGCTAGCCCCTCTGGTTAATGCTACAACTGGTCCTCCTGGGACTGTGGAGAGTGCACAGGCAGGCCACCAAGAGGGGCGACACCAGACCCTCCCTCACACCCTCCGCCCTCCTCCCTCCCTCCCAGCAGGGTCCCCCAAGCAGAGGCCGGTGGGAAACTTCAGTGTATGTAGATCCGGTCGGACACCGCTGCGGGCAAGTGGGTCATGACCTGCATTCGAAGCCACCAGTAGTAGTCCATGGGGTGGTAGCGAGTGTAGGGGCTGGCGGAGGTCAGGGCGTGCGTGACAGCGTTGATGACAGGGGACGTGTCTGTGGAGCCGCTGTTGCAGTAGGTCTCCATCTTGGCGATCTTCTCGTCAAAGTACTTCCTGCCGTAGTCCTGACGCACCACCTCGGGCAGCTCGTCCCACATCTTATTGGCAATGGCCTGGATGCGCTCGGGGCTGTAGAGGCTGGTGGCGGCGATAAAGTTGCCAGGTTCCACCACACTGACCTTCACACCCAGCGGGTGCATCTCGTAGCGCAGGCAGTCGGAGAAGGCCTCCACCCCGAACTTGGTGATGCAGTAAGGCGAGCGGGCCGGGTTGGCCATGCGGCCCAGCATGCTGCTGATGTTTACGACGCGGCCTGCGGAGGAAGACGGCAGAGCCCTGCTCACAAGGCGCTGACTGGTCGGGCAGAGGGCGGGGCCAGGCAGGCTGCTTTGACGCCTGAACTACCCAGGGTCAGAGGGGCCTTCTAATACACAGTCGAGGCCAGCTCAGGCCACATGTCCAGCTTTTCCCTGACTATGCCAGGCAGGACAGGCCAAGAGAAATGAGCCGGCCTGCATCCAGGAGGGTGTGGGGTAATGCGTAATGGATGCTAGAGCGCTCACGGCAGGCAGCCCAGGCCAGGGTTCTGAACCTGATTTTAGTGCTAGGACAGAGGGACAGAGTCTTCAGTACTAGAAGACGGTGGGGACCTCAAGAGGCTTTCCCACAGGCCTGGCCTCGGGAAGCGGGATGGAGGTGGAGCCCATCCAAGCAAGCCCAAGTGGACCTGGGACATGCTTGTCCTGGGAATGCCCTCGGGAAGTTAAGACCCAGCCCCAACTTGGGCACCTCGGGGAGCTGCCTTTCAGAAACCTCTAAGTTGGAAGTCTCTGGAGGGTTGGGGTTTTCTTCTACAATCCTACAGAAGCTCTCGGGATTCATCCTATCATTGCTGAGACTTTGGGAGAAATCCTATGGGATCACCCCCTTTTTTGCCATCATTGTTTGCTATCTAGAGAGAACATCCAAATCAGTGACTTCTTTGGCTACCTAACATGGTCTGAGTGCTCTGTCTGCTTTCCAAATTCCTAATCTCGAAGATTATTATTACTATATTTTACATTCTACCACATTGTCTTATTTTGTAACTGCGGCCTAGTGACCCAAAGAATGGATCTACCAACACTGACTTCCCCGTGCCTCTCTTGGTAGTTGCTGTATATAGACACAGCCCCAAGCACAAGGTGGTTATTTCTCTAGATTAGGTCCCCAGAGTGGGATGGCTGCTGTAATCTTTCAGCCTTTGAGACTGCGACCTCTCAGCCGCCTTCCTTTCTGAAAACCACACATACCTTTCCACTTGCCTGGCCAAGACAGCTCCCCTTACCCCCATCCACGAGACCTGCACGGCACCTGGGAAGTCCTGTGCTCAGCCTCACTGGGGTACGGAGGCTGGATCTGCAGAGACCTCTTTCCAGTCTAGGCAAAGATGAAAAGACAGGATGGGAGGAAAACCCTTTCCAACTCACCTTTGGCCCTTCGGATGAGGGGGAGAAAGGATTTTGTCATCCGCACGGTGCCCCAGAGGTTCACTTCTGCCACTTCCTTGTAGGTCTCCATGCTGGTGAACTCCACTTCTCCAAAAGTCGAGATGCCCGCATTGTTAACGAGGCCCCACAGGCCTGGACAGGATGGAACAGAACCATGGTCACCACGCAGCCTTGGCCTCAGACACCACCCATCACCCTGCAGCCATGCCTCTCCTCGCTTTTGTCCCTTTCCCTCCAAACTTGCCACTTACAAGGATCTTGGGACATTTCCTAGAATCACCAAGAATAACAGGAGACAAAGAGGCCTATGGTATAGGCTGGGACCCTGTCTTAAGTCTAAAACATCCAATTACCATCTCACTTCTCCCTGCATGGCCTCTCTGGGCCCTCAATGACCCAGCCCTGCCAGATGTCCGCAGCCTGGGGTCACTCCCACTGGCTCCACACGGTCACCTCCCCGCAGCCTGCACTGTGTCTCCATTCCTGCCCCTGCACCTTCGCTTGCCTTCCACTTCTGGCCAAAAGCCTGGAGAATCCCAGGAGTCTTCCAGGCCAAGCCTTCTCTGGAGGCCCAGGGAGGGGACCCAGTATCCAGGGTCTTATAGCAGTTAGAGGCTCAGCTAAGACTTCACCTCAGGTCCAGCCCCAGTCCTGATCCATCCTGAGCCCCTGACCATGACCTCGGATCTTCCCCTCCCACAATACGCACTGTTTGCTGTTATCCCTGGTGAGCCCCATCACCCGTGTGTATACGCCTGGTCTCTGCAGGTTGAGAACACCCCTCAGCCTTGTGTGGTCCCAGGCAGAGGACAGAGCTAGAGCAAACAGACACTCTCCAAGTAACCTGGGTTGACTGTTTCCTATAAGACCAGAGAGGGGATAGTTCCACAGACCGGGGAACCCTGGTGCTAGAAGGATCCTTGGAGCTCTGACAGCTACTTTTATCACCAGGGAAGCAGAGGCCCTTCAGCATGCGCAACTGGTCAGAGGCAGAGCAGAATGAGGGAAGGAGGCCCCAAGGAGGCCATCTTGTTTTGCAGGGCCTCTGAGTTCCATCTGCAGGGCGTGAGGACTGCATGGGCCGCAGCCTCGGGACAGAGCTATCATCCTGCCCGTGGGAGCCCTGGTCCCACTTCGCTTTCCAAGTTAATCATGGAAACGAGTTTGCGTGCATGACAGAGTAATTGGTCTCTAGCTGTGTTCCTTCCGTGTTATCCAAATTAAAGCTTCAACTGACCTCTGGTGCCTTCTCCTTCAATTATGGAGAATTAAGAACATTTATCAGGGAAGGAAACTGCTAGTTAACAAAGTGCTCGTGAAGCTCTCACTCACTCCCCACAGCGGCTGAGCGGCAGCCACGGGCTCTCGGGTCTCACCAGTGACCTAGCACTGACGCGGCCACCACAGCCCGTCCTCCCCCGAAGTCTTCACCCGTCTCTTCTTCCCAGGAAGAGCCAGAGGCCTCCCACCACCTGCCAAGGCTGACCTGTCACCCTCCACCTTCCAAACCATAAGCTGTCATTCCTTGTTCCCTTTTTATGCAACGTTAACCTTTCTCTTGCCCCTGGCTCCCTCCCTCCAATGTTGTATACATTAGATGCTCAATAAAGGTTTCTCAGATGAATGAAGGTCTACGATACCATGTCCCGAGATCCCAAAGAACCTCCTCTTTACCATGCTACATCCTCACACCGCCGTCTGTTCTCCTTCCCTCCACGACCAGGCTTCTGAGAACACAAGCCACACCCTCCAGACCCCATTTCCCTGCCATGCTGGGTCCCAGTCCTGCTGCTGCCCCCACGGTGTCTGGGGTGCAACATGGTAAGGGTGTCCCATCACGCTCACCTCCCATCTTCACTCCCCTCAACCTCTCCCCAGTATGAGCTCTACTCATGGTTCTTGACACTCATTCCTCCCTTGGAGCAACCCTTCTACCCTCCCGGCCGCCCTTCTTCTACCCGCCCCCTAAATACAGGCATCCGCCAAGGTCCTGTCCTAGACCACCTGCTCCCAAATTATGCTCCGTGCCTAGGCAGCCTTGTCTTCTTTATGTTCATGGAAATTTGCAGCTGCTTTGTGTTTGGTTCACACAAAACCGCATCCCACCTAAAGTGCATATTTTCTCCCTAACAAAAAACTAATTACAGCTGACACTGATATCCAAAAAAGTGTAATTGAACTTGACCTGTGAAAGCACATGGCTCCTGGATTATAGCTCTGCTGACTTGATAAGCAGTAACAGTCTGTGGAGCTAGGAGTCCTCAGCCAACACTCCACATAAACTCAAAATGTACACTGCTGCTTATTCCTGGGGACAGCTGTTTCCTTGCAGCAGCCCCAGCAGTCACCACGTCAAGGGCTCTGGTGTACCCCTCGGGCTCATGGCTCTCCTCCGACTGCGGTCTCCTCCTCCTGACGGCCACTCTCACCTCAGTGTCCTGCACACAGGTCCCCAGCATCCCCTCCCCACGCACCATCATGGCAAGCTCCAGCTGCCCCAGCCCGCGCCTTACTTTCCTCTTTGCTAACAGACCCCTGGACCTCTTCTCCCCAATCTGATGAGAACTATTAATACCACTGATCAAGATCAAAAGGACAGAGGTCCGGCCCTGAGCTAAGCACTCTGTGTGCATTCGTTCCAAAGCTAAGCTATCCCAGGTCTGGAGGACACAGTTGGGGCTCCAGGAGGTTACGCACCTTACTCAGTGTCACTCAGCTAACAGGGGGACAAGATAATTTGGACCCTGGTCTGTGTGAAGACACAGCCCTCACGCTTGACCCTGTGCCACTGTCGGCTTCCTCTGCCATCTCATCAGATCTGTGCCTTTTTTCCTCTCTCCACAGCATTAGTCTGGGGCCTTGTTGTCTCCATCCTATATCACTGGCAAACTTCTCCCAGGTCTCCCTGTCACAGCTTCTGTCCTCCACTTCCATCCTAGCCGGCCCCTCAGCTAGACCCTCCTCTGTCGGTCACTTCTTGCTCTTACGATTCCCTCTCGCAGCAGGTTTGGGAGGCCTCCTTTGCCGGGTTTCTTGTTCTGCCTTCTGGAAGCCTGAACAGCCGGCCCCTCCACTGCCTCGTGGTCCCTCCTGCCTCTGCTGCTCCCTGACTCCACCCAGCCCTCCAACCCTCACTCCATGTTATTCTGCCCATGTGCCTGCAGTGGTCAGATCTAGGCATGAGAACTGGCTGTGTGAGCAGAGCATTTCTCCCTCTTCACAGATAGGTAAGCTGAGGCCCACACAGGGGAAGGTGTGAGCCCAAGGTCACACTTCTAGTAAGAGAGTGAAGCCCACCATAACTCCAGACTTCCCACTCTCAGACTGAGGGTGTCCCAGTTGTAGGACTGGGTCTTCTCTATACATGGCACAATGTCTCCAGTGCTGTAATGGTTCCGAAGAGGTCCTGCCATGAAGCCACCAACTTACATCTGGCTGGTGTCCAACCACAATCCTCCTGCCAGGTCATACCCTTATTGGTGCTCAGCACACTACCAAGCATACAGCAGGTACTCAATAAATATCTCCTGACTGTGAGGTTAAGTGATGGTTTCAACATACAGCCTGCCGGTTGGCTCACTCAGCCTTTTGCTGGGATGGGGTGGGCAGTGCTGTCTCCAGGCTCCAGATGTCCATCCGGTCCCTCGGAGCTCTACCAGCTGTGGCAGATGGCTCACCTGTTCTAATCAGACAATCCCCTTCATCTCACCCCCCGAGGCTGGCTCCCCTGTTCCACAGAGCCAGGATGAAAGGCACTTGTCTCCTGAAAGGATCCTGCCTGGGTAGAGTGAGTTGGAAGCGCGCACAGGCTTAGGGACCCCAGGCTGATCTGAAAGCTCTAGAAGGGTGCCACCTGGAGTTCAGAGATAGCATTGCCAGAGAAGGAGAAGGACAGAGGCTTGACCAGGAAAGACGGCCCTGGGTAGGGCAGGGGTGGGGGCCACGGGGAAGAAAGAGAGGGGGAGAGAGAAGTGGGGACAGAGAAACCAGGACAACCACATGTCCAACAGATTTCTCATCTCACCAGAAAAATCTTCAAATCTTTTGCCAGAAAATGCAGTATTAGGTAAGTAAGCTCATGCTGTGGTTTATCAGTCCTCACTGGAATGTGTCATTTGGAAAAAGGCAGCAGGGAAAAGTTTATTCATCAGGGTGGGACTAGGGTTTGAACTCGGTCCCAGGGCAGGGGGTGGGAGTGCCTCTCCCTGTAGTTCCGGGTCTGCCCTTCCTTGCCGGTCAAGCGAACTGGCCCAGACCAATACAGGGAATGGAGGTGACTCTGTCCTGGCAGTGGGGGACCGGAACCAGGGTCCTTAGCAACCCCCAGCTCGGGTGCAGCCCCACTCTGTTCTCAGGTCTACAGTGATGAGTTCTTTCCATGGGCGCCGTGGATCACCACAAACTCTCAGGCTGCCATGAAGTGGCCTCACAGCACAGACTCCTGCCTCCTGGTTGATGAAAGCAGGCGGGAGGGGTGAGGTAGGCTGTACCTCCAGCGCAGGGAATCACCCCAGGGGGACACATCCTGCCTCTTCTTAATGGGACAGGAGCCCTGGCTCTACCTGTTAATTATGAAATAGATGTTTAGTGAGTTAGGGAACTCATAGGCCTCTCCTCTGAGAGCAGACCAGCCTGGGAATGGCCCTCTTTGGAGGTGGGGGTGGACCGGGGCTGCCAAGGGGATGCGTCAGGGACAGGCTGGCAGCCTAAGCAACAGCTTCCCTGACAGCCACATGGCACAGGCATCTCCGTTTGGCTCATAAAGGCTCGACAGAGCCCAGCCCCGTCCCTGGTGGTCCCCTCTCCTCCCCTTCTCCCTCCTAAGGCCTGAAGTCACCACTCGGGAGAAAGAGAGAACGCTCTCTGCCTGGTTGGCCAGGAAGCTCAAAGGTAAACACCTCAGAGGAAGCAAGAAGCCCAGAATCATCACGGCTGTGTGCTCCATGAACGGGGTCTCCTCCCTTCTGTTGGACAGAGCCCCTCCCACCAAGATCCCTCCCTGGGCTGAGCTGGGAGAGAACACCCGAGTCCTTATGTTACCAGAACTTTCTGCAGCAGGTGACCCTGTCAGCGACTGGCCCTCAAACTTTCTGTTCCTCCAGGTTCTGGGGGCACAGTCCCCAACCTCTCTGCCAGCTGCCTCTCCCCTTCTCTACCCCCTGATTGCTCATGTTCCCAGGAAGCCCACCTTGCATCTTGCCTACTCTAGCCTCACCTCCAGGCCCGGACATCTGGTCTCCACCCAGACATTCCCACAGGGCATCCCATGGGCACTCTCCATCCCTCATCACGCTCCTGCAGTGGGTTGGGGGGGACCGGGCATCAGGAGAGGCCTTGTGCCCCTCCCTCATCCCCACATGTATCCATCACCAAGTCCAGCCAGCTATGCCTTCCCGACTCTGATCCCTCCACATCCCCAAACACACACTGCCCTTGTTCAGTACTCCAGCACTCATGCTCTCCCTCTAAATCTGCCCTCCACGCTGCTGCCGCAGTCCCCAGACTGATAGTTCATTCCCCCTGGGACATCGACAGTGGGCCCCAGTGTCCTCGGGAGTGTGGCTATGGGCCCCAGGCCCTGGAGGACCTCTGTCCTCAACCCCATTTCCTGTCACCACCTCCACCAGACTTGACCACGGACTTGGCCCCCCACATATCCTATGTGCTTCCCACCATTGTTCCTTCTCTCCCCAACTCTGGAATGCCCTTCTTTCACCCTGCCACAATCTGCTCTCCTAACGGGCTCCCCACCCCACCCAGGACTGGGCTGTGACCCTCTGTCCTGTGCTGCTTCCTGAGAGGGGGTGTGGAGATCATTCAGGTTAGCCCCCCAGGGAACCTTGGAGAGGTCCTTGGGAACAAGGACTATGTCTTGGCCATCTCTGTGTCCCCAACACTTGGCCCGGAGTGGGCATTCAATGAACATTGTCTGAACTGACCTGCCCCTGTGCTCGTCTGTTCACCACTCCTAGAGGTTTTGAAAGCACCTCTGGCTTTATTTCCCATTGCCTTATTGCACAGGTGTGTTTAATTTAACCCACTTCCTCCCGCTGTGTGAGAGGAAGAGTTTCAACAGAGGGCAAGCAGGCTTTTGCAAGATACCGGTAGACGGGGAGTAGCGTTTAGGAAAGGGGCCCTCAGAACAGCTGGAGCACTACCCCCTGTGGCCCCAACGGGCCCCCTACCTTTCTCAGGGTCCTCCAGGCTCGAGCGGACGATCTCCACCACTTTCTCCACCTCCTCGTTCTTGCAGACATTGAGCTGGACAGTTCTTAGTCGATCACTCTTCAAGCTATCCAGCTCCTTGACCCCATCGTCTCCTTTGTCCTGGGGAGGAGAGAGGAGCTGCCTCGACCACCTCCTTCCCACCCTGTCTCCAGTCAGAGGACCAGGCCGAGGCCCTGCCAGAGCCTGGGGCTTACTAACAACTCTGGAGAGTCTCTGGAGACCCGCAGGGGCTGCTCGTCTGGCAGGTGGTTCTCTTCAAGCCCAGAACTGACCACATGTCAGGCCAAACCAAGTGCCACAGACACAAGCCCGAAAGGCTTTCCTGGAAGGCGCCTCTCTCTAAGCCAAGGTTTCGAAGTGAGGACCCACCAGGGCTAGGCATGTGGGTGTCCGACCATGGGGAGGGTGGGGACTTGGGAATGAAGCACATGCCTACCTCTCCACCCCTGCCAGCTGCTGCCAGCATGGGTATGGGTGTAACCCAGGCCTGCCAGCTGCTCCGATGTTTAAGCTAGTAATTAGGACTTCCCAGTTTTTTAAGTGTTGGCAACTTACATTTAAAAAACAAAAACTAAGCACTGTGTAAAGCAAAGCACATTCACAGGCCACATGACTGGAGGCTGCCAGTTTGTCACCTCTGGTCTAAGCCACAGGTCTGTCACTACCAAGATGGTCAGAAACCAGAGCAGCTCTCATTCCAGTCCCATCAACTACCCAGGCTCTGTGCCCTCAGGTGCAACCCTTAACAGGTGCCCAGTTTTCCCAGCTTCAAAATAAGAAATAAGGACAACGCCACCTGTCCTGACCTGCTCAGGTTACTGGTATGATGGAATCATCTTTATTAAAAACCTGTTCAACTGTCAAGCTAAATCGAAGCATTATTAAACATGAGAAAAGGTCACTCACTCAGCAAACATTCCCTGGGCCTCCATCATGTCCCAGCCCTGCGCTAAGAACTGGATACACAAAAATAAATAACTTAGCCCCTGTTATCAAAGAGGCATATTTTCGGGAAGGGGGCAGGTGCATAAGGGAACAATCTGGGCAGTGTTTGCGGCATGAAAGCTGGCGGGAGGGGAGAGGCTGCCCAGAAGGTGGGACAGGCCTTTCAGGAGCAGTGATAGCCGAGGCCAAGGACCAGAGGGGCCCTGGGAAATGCGACATTTCAGATAGCAGTGAGGCCTGGAAGTCGTTGCACAGGAGGCTGGGGAGGTGGGCAGGGGTCTTCCTGGGGCGCGGTGGTGAGCTGCTGGAGGGCGTGGATAAAAGCCAGCATCATTTACTGAGTGCTGACGGTGCTTCCCACTGTGCTAAGCACTTGACATACACTTCTCATTAGTCTGCACACCGTGAGGCGGGTTCTATTACCATATTTCATTCTTTCTAGGACCCATATCTTCTCCACCTTAGGGATGAGCTACACCGTTGTGAAAAGCAAACACTGTCAGTTACAATGTAATTGGCAGTGACTTTCTCGGTGGTGCAGGAAACAGGAAGGCATCTAGTGAGAAGACAGCAGGAGCTGCCAGGGGCTGCAGTGAGAGGGAAATGCCTATTCTCAGCAAGGACGTGCGCGGGATACAGGTGGTATTGATGCTAACCTCCCTGGCAAGGCCAAGAGTAGGAAGCATATGGATGTCCGCATACATCCATGGTGAAAAGTTCTCTAGGAATTAGGCTCAGCCTGCTAAGTGGTCTGAACCAGGAGAACCTTAACCCCAGAACAAGACGTTCGCATCACACCACGTCAGAGAGACATAGGAGAGAGTGGTAAACGGACTGTTTCCAATAGGGCCGGAGGGGCTGGAGATAATCGCTCTGGAGAGGGACCTGGGAAGAACACGAGAGTGAGGGAGCAATCTGGCCCCATGGAGCCCACCAAACAGAAGCAGGGCCAAAAAGTCAAATTCAGCCCAAAATGAGGAATGATTTTCACCATCCAGATGGCAAGACTGCCCCGGAGGAGTCCGGATAATGAAAGTGGAGGTCAGGGTTGGGGCAGGGTGGGGAACACGGTGTGGAGAAAACCCAGGCATCAGACAGGCATCAGGCTGGTCCCCACTGCCCCCAAGAGCTCTTCCACTCTTAAACAGTCAGCCTCTACAGGGAGCCTCCGCTCTGGGCCTGAAAAGCAGCAGCACGTGTGGCCCTCTGAGTCTCTGCCTGGCCCAGCACCAGGCATGCCAATGACACCCAGAGTCCCCTCTGCCCAGGGCAGCCCTGTGTGAAGCTTGGTTAGTCTAAGGCTTGGCTCTGAAACTCCCTGGCAGTGCCCACTTCCCGGACAACATGGCAGGTATCTCATCTACGGGCCTAGAGCTTCTGGTACTATTCTTGCAGAGGGTCTGACAGCAAATAACTCCCAGAGACGACAGCTTCCAGTCCAGAGGAGGGAAGGGCTGGTGTCCACAGACACCAAGAAAACATGCATCTTGTTTGAATGCAGTCTTCACGTCATGCCTCCTCGAATGCCCCTCAGAGTGGAGCCCAGGCAGATGGCATCCCTGAGCAGGTGCTGACGCCTACTTTCAAGAAGATAGGCCCCTGAGCGCCCTGTCCTCCTCCTGGCCTTTGTGAACCCTGCCACCATATTTTGGCAACTCTCAGACTCCACACCAGACGTCTCCTTGAGCCTCCAGCCAGCCCTGAGCCCATGTCTCCAAGGTCCCCCGGGGAGGCTCTTCACCTGGCTCAGGGTCCCCACATGAACTCGGTTTGGAGTGTGGCAGCTGAGACCCTGCTCTCGGAGGAAACCAGGGGTTTGTCCCACGGCTGACAGGTTCAGGCTCAGCATTCAGGATCCCAGGAGAGAAACCCATCTCCTCCCTTCCCCTGCCAGGTCTCCCCAGAAGTCCTCCTCACTCTGAAACGGCCTCTACATCCCGCTCTGATGGCCTTGTCAGCGGGGACAGAGACAGTCAGCTTGCCTTCACTGTTCAGAGAAAACCTTCGCTGACCACCCTTAGCCCCAGGGCCACAGAGCACAGTGGCTGGTCCCCTTCCAGATCCACCTGTCCTCAGTCCAAGGCTACACTGCTTGGGCCCCACCGCCTCCCTGACTCCAGGGTTTCTGTCCTCTTCTTCATCTGTCTTGCTGCTCAGGGACAAGCTTCGAGTCCTGCTGTGTTGTGACTATGGAACTGGTTGACTGATAAACCCACTTTTATCATTATCCCTTTCCATTTCATCAGTGAGCTCTCTTTTCTACCCTTGCATGACAAGTTGGGCAATTCTTATAGTGTTTCCACACATTCTCAGATAACGGCCTCTTTGTTCAACTTCAAGGGTCCAGTTCAGTCTACTAATCAAGGAACCCCAGCGCAGCCTGGGTTGAAAACCCAAGTCCTCCAGCTTCTATGCAATCTAAAGCCTGTCCTGACCCAGGCCTGGGGAGTGTGGGAAGCCCATGGACGCCAAACAGGGGTGAAGACTGCCTTTCCCCTTATTTTCTAGCTCCTCCTCATGTCTTCCTTAATCTCTGACCCTTCCAGGGTTGGATCCAGGGGCTGGCAAATTAAGGGGCAAGACTGTAGTCTTCTGAGGCTGGTCCTGTTTTCTGCTGTTGGTGTCCAGGGACAGCAGGTGCACAAGCCTGGCCCTCCCTGCAGGGCGTGCTTTCATGCGTTCTACAGAGATCCGTCCTCCGGATACCTCCAGCCGGGCCTCTTCTTTCTCCACCCGGGTTTCAGGGAGGCACCCCTTCGGCTGGGGAAACACGGGCAGTCCTAGGAGTCTCACTGGATGGGCGCCCTTATGATGACTCCAGGAGCTCTCCCCTTCATCCACATCACGTCCAGGCCAGAGTGTCCGACCCAAGCAGGACAGCCCTCTCCTGGTGGAGCTCTCTCTGCTCTGCTTCCAGATGAGGCACTCCAGCCTCATTCTTGGGCCTCCAGGCGTCTCTTGGTCAATATTAACATACCCTTCTGTGGCCAAGGACTCCGGGGCATTGATGGTAAGCTCTCTAGGAGTTCTTTTTTTTTTTAATTATTTATTTATTTATGGGGCACCTGGGTGGCTCAGCGGGTTAAAGCCTCTGCCTTCGGCTCAGGTCATGATCCCAGAGTCCTGGGATTGAGCCCCACATCAGGCTCTCTGCTCAGCGGGGAGCCTGCTTCCTCCTCTATCTCTGCCAGCCCCTCTGCCTACTTGTGATCTCTGTCAAAAAAATAAATTTTTAAAATCTCAAAAAAAAAAAAAATCCCTCTCCATTCTTACATGATTATTCATCCCCGCTTCTTAAAAAAAAAAAAAAAAGAATTATTTATTTATTAGACAGAGAAGACACAGTGAGAGAGGGAACATAAGCAGGGGGAGTGGGAGAGGGAGAAGCAGGCTTCCCGCTGAGCAGAGAGCCCAATGCGGGCTTGATCCCAGGACCCTGGGATCATAACCTGACTGAAGGCAGACATGTAACAGCTGAGCCACCCAGGCGCCCCTCTAGTAGTTCTTTAAGTTTTTATTTTAATTCCAATTAGTTAACACCCAGTGTTCTATCATTTTGAGGCGTACAATTCAGTAATCACACTCCCTTACCCCAGCGGGTGCTCATCGAGACAAGTGCGCTCCTTCCTCGCCATCCCCCGTTTCCTCCATCCCCCGTTTCCGCCATCCCCCCACCTGCCTCCCCTCTGGTGCCCATCAATCTGTTCTCCGTAGTCAAGAGTCCGTTTCTCCAAGTAGTGTTCTTGAAGCCCACCTCACTGAGACCAGAGGGAAAATATCACAGCACGCTAACAACTCCGTCCAACCTCTCAACCTTCCCCAACCTTCTCCACCTCCATTTCTACCACACTGAGCCAGATGACGGACTGAACCTGGCAGCAGGGTTTTACAGACTCTAGGCCTGTTCTGCTAGGGGGTCCAGCACCTCCAGGCCGGATGAAGACACTCGCCAGGTAAAATGGGAGTGTCTATCACACGCACAAGGAACGGTGAAGAGGAACAAGCCTGGGGCCTTGTAACGGTCACAGGCTGAGCAGTGGGAGCGCTAGCAAGGGAGGGGAAGCAAAACAAGAGAGCGGGGTATCCAAAAGTCATGCAACAAAGGGTAACACGCAAGAGTGGTTTGTTTGGTTAAAGCTGTGTGTAGGTTCAGT